TTATAAAATTGCAAATTTCTTGTTAATTTATATCTAAATTATTTTATAAAAAGAAATTATTCTGAGATAAAAATATGGATATATGTATAGAAGGTTAAATCGAAGCCTGTAGAATGATTGTTTAACAATTTGTTTAACACGTTAACTGGCACGTTGATCGGAAATTACATTTTTATCGCGACAAAGTCCGCTTTCCGGTTTTACCGATTAAATTATTTCGATTTTCGCTGAAGGATAATATGTATAGGTTGAACAACGTCTATGTATTTTCATTTCCATAAACAAGCATACAACGCGAGACTTTCCTGCCGTCCACATTCAATTACGATTTGTTTCGGTGCAATTTACAAATTGGTGGATCGGGTCGCAGAAATGTGCTCGGTGGCCGCTTTGAGGATAAATTCCGTGACGTTTAAGCGAGACCCCCGAAACGCTTTAATACTTCGGAATGCAATATAAACCGCGAGAATTAATTTAACCGGTAACATTCTTCATAAAAAGTAACGAGAAAAACGCGCTTTTTTTCTCTCGTACACCTATTACTTACAAAAAATGCGGTGGGGGGTGTGGTGGGGAGAAAGAGAGAAGAACGCTCTATCCAGCGGCACCGCGAACGCTCTGCAGATAATCACCCTTAACCCGCTAATTCCTAGACTTCGCTGCATTTTAATTTGCTCTTTTGCCAGCCGGTTTATCGATCAGCTACAGCACCGTAAGCCCGGTGAATTATACGAGTTCGCAATTTCATTAATAGCCCAACGTTAAACACTGTTTTTCATTGCGGCGCGGCGGCTCGTAAAACGAGCCGTAAAATTTTCAAATTCTTCGCGCTGCCTTCATAAATTCGATATTAATCTGCGCCGAGGAGGCGCGGGGGCGTTGCGGTTTAATGCGTAACGACACGATCGAATTAAAATTTAGAAACTATTAGGGGAACCGACCGCGGAAACGTATCCAAGCGGCACGCGTGAATTCCTGGTGGTCGGCGACCAATCGTAATTCCCGCGTAATTTACAATTTTCACCGTGGCACCTGGCCTTTTATCATTCAAATTCGACGGCCGCCGCGTCGCGTCGCGCCGGACCCGAGCCGAGCGGGAGAACCGCGATTTGTATAAGCGCCACCTTGCCCAATAAGCTAAGCAGCCGTGACCATAAACCGGTGAAATAAGAGCCTCGACGTAAACGCGGGGTCATAATGTCGCGGGCATGAATGTAAATAACAGCTGAGACTTATCCTCCCGCGATAAAACCACCCAGGCCTCCCAATATAAGGCGTCTATCTTTCCATCTGCATTCAGCCCGCCGCTCGCTAATTAACGCACGCAGATACGGGAAAGACGTTGTCGGGCTGTGTGAATCATTAGCGACGAGGTTGAACCTTACAGTTGTTTCGAAGTCGATAAAGCGACCAGGCTTTACATTCGTGATAACGATACGACTGCACACACACATACACACACATGCATACACACGTGTCGGGAACGCGGCGAATCCCACCAGCGACAATGACGAGTCTCTGTAATTCGTATTTCACTTAATTCGAATTCCATTTGCCTTACTCGGCTCTTCATTATCAGTCACGTTACACGTTTACACCCTCCCGGGCCCGTAATAAGTCGTGTATTGAGGCATGGAGGTCGAGGAGAATAACTGTTCCTCTCTGTACAAACAGTCACGAAAGTCCTACGTGCGAGTCCTGAATTTCGGCAGACGGATCGCGAAATGTTTCTAGGGTTTGTTTATGGAATATTCGATGGAAACTCGAAACGGAATCTCACGAAAATTTGCAATTACGTATCCTCTTGGCGGATTGCAGCGATTATTGTCGTTTTTATACTATTTAAAATTTAGTTTATGAATTTGTTTTTGTGAGCAACTGTGCTCACAAAAAGCGATTGATATGAATCATATAAAAAGCGATTAGCTATTTGTTATTTGAAAAGTGAACAAAATTTCAGCGGTGGACGCTTTATTATACGTTTTCCTGTGTGTGTGTACTTCTAGTACAGTAATTAAAACATTGCCTGAAACGCGTATTGAAAATTATTTGACTGCATTTGTTACGCAAACAATTTCTCTGGTAGATACAATTTGAGAAAAGTTACCGCAAAATAATCCTTCCAAACATCCTTTCTCGTATGAAACTAGTGTATAATTTAGAAATATTTATACTCTCATTTACTTTGCATCATCAAATTACTTCAGCTTATAGCACGAATTTTAATATTATTATTTGAAGTTATTATCAAAAATTTGAACTCTTGAATTCAAATTATCTTTCAACTATCCTTGCTGCGACGTCCAAAAACAAAAATGGCTACTACAAATTTGACCATTTTGGCAGCAATACATTCGGTGCAAAAACATTTCATCATACAATTGAGCCGTTTATTTTGAAAGTGGCAAGGGGGGGTTTTAACACGTTTCAAAATATGGATGCTAACTTTCGAGAAGATTTACTTGTATTTGTTATCTCAGGATACTGAGATATTTTTCTCAGTATAAACAATTTCGTATAAACATTAAAAAAATCNGCGATTATTGTCGTTTTTATACTATTTAAAATTTAGTTTATGAATTTGTTTTTGTGAGCAACTGTGCTCACAAAAAGCGATTGATATGAATCATATAAAAAGCGATTAGCTATTTGTTATTTGAAAAGTGAACAAAATTTCAGCGGTGGACGCTTTATTATACGTTTTCCTGTGTGTGTGTACTTCTAGTACAGTAATTAAAACATTGCCTGAAACGCGTATTGAAAATTATTTGACTGCATTTGTTACGCAAACAATTTCTCTGGTAGATACAATTTGAGAAAAGTTACCGCAAAATAATCCTTCCAAACATCCTTTCTCGTATGAAACTAGTGTATAATTTAGAAATATTTATACTCTCATTTACTTTGCATCATCAAATTACTTCAGCTTATAGCACGAATTTTAATATTATTATTTGAAGTTATTATCAAAAATTTGAACTCTTGAATTCAAATTATCTTTCAACTATCCTTGCTGCGACGTCCAAAAACAAAAATGGCTACTACAAATTTGACCATTTTGGCAGCAATACATTCGGTGCAAAAACATTTCATCATACAATTGAGCCGTTTATTTTGAAAGTGGCAAGGGGGGGTTTTAACACGTTTCAAAATATGGATGCTAACTTTCGAGAAGATTTACTTGTATTTGTTATCTCAGGATACTGAGATATTTTTCTCAGTATAAACAATTTCGTATAAACATTAAAAAAATCACCACTTTTCATTGCGGTAAAGTGACTTATGCCACTTTCAAAATAAATGGCTCAATTAGTGAACTGCTCAATTAATTATACGTCGATATTTCGTCAAGTAAGATAGAGCACTGAAGTATTATAGCGTGGTTTGCCTTATCCGATGCGGTTGCTAATAGTAACAAAACAATGAATCACGGGATAATCCGCGCTCCGAGCGTATCTCGCGAGGCTTACGAGTTTTCTGCATCTTCTGTTCCGAGTTACTATTGACCCAAATACAGTCCTTTAACAGCCTAACACAAGTCGATTCGTGCCTCTACAGTGGTAACCGTAAATTCTTTAGCGCGATTGAAAATAACAATACGGCTGGATATGTTTAATATTTAGTGTTTACATAAATTACATAAGCTATTTACATCTTCAGTTTACCCGTTCTGTATTAATATATAAATTAGCAATTTGAATAATTTATGTATGTATATAATTTATGAATTTACTTTACGCAACAGTCCAATATTTAATGGTGCCGGAATTATCACTCGATGAAACTTTCATTTACATGTGACATTTGTATTATTAATTGTTTCTTGATGTAAGTGTTATCGCGTAAAAGGTTCGATACATTAATTGTTGCATGGAAGTTGGTGAAAGTTTATAAAATTGCTTTCCTAAAGCTATTATTATACTGTGGCGTTAAATTTGTAACGGTGTGTCGAATTTTCTCTCTCTCTCTCTCTCTCTCTCTCTCTCTCACACAGAGATTGAGTGTATTCAGTAGTTACATTTTTCTAAACCGTGAATTGGAAACGGATTACCTTTGAATATATGTGATTCGGTATATACTAGGACCAACAGATTCTATAATGAATGCGGTTTAGAATCAATTAGTTCGTTCTAGCATATTCCATTATAGAAGCAATATATTTATTTAACATGTTTATTGCGTTCCAATCCCGATTCGAATTAAACTGTCTACACCGTCGCGTTCAAATGTGCTCAATCTAATAATTGACGGTTCTTTAAAAAAAAAAAAAGAATATTGTTGCCACTGTTAACTATTGCTTTTATTTCGAACTATCCTTAAGTATAACTACAGTATTATTAAGCTTCTTAATTACAAAAAAAATTGTGTACCAGTTTAATGTGGGCATACATTTTTACACCATAAGTATTTCTCAAATGAAAATAGGACATTGTCGCTTTGTATAACTAAACAAAATACTGAAAGAAGAAGAATAAAAAATTCTCCAAGGATGTTATCACTTAAAGTGCATCATGTTAGCAATGAATGAGACCACTCCTTCCAGTGTACCGCGAACACCTATCTTACACGTATGTTATGTTATCCTACCGTATCCTACAGTATCAAGCCGTTTATGCTCAAATAAAATACCTTGTTCAAGCTATAATAATTTTCTAAAACCAACAATATCAACCACAATCATCTCAAACAGCCAACATCTGGCGCCCCCTAGTTTCCTAACTCAGTTCCCTCGCTGGAGGAAGCAACCATAAAAAAAAGGAACAGTCTATGATTGACATATCCAGAGTCAACGGAATATATTTAAAATATTAAAGACCTTACTATCCAAAGAATCGTTCTTAACGACCAGTAAATGACAAAGAAACCAAAAGAATACAAATTTGAGGTTATACAATTTTGTACCGGCTGCCTGCCAACTCCCAGGCTTTCATCGACAGAGGAGACATCTCTCGAAGGAGCGAAGTGAAATTACGAATAAACAAAGACAGGTCCGAACTCACCGGTGTTGTGTACGGTTGGCAGGCGAGCCTGATGCCGTCGTGTCTGAGCTTCTCCTGCAGCAGCATCCTGAGCTGCATCCCCGGGATTCTGACGAGTTCCGCCTTCCCCTCCTCGTACTCGTCCGCGAACTTGGTTAATTCCTGACCGCCGCTGGAAGAACTGGCGGTTGGCGATGCCCTCTGTGCCTCTTTATCGCTGGGTGGTCTCTCGGAGGACGTCCTGGAGGACTTGGAGCTGACATTGTCGCAGAGACAGTCGTTGCTCTCCTCCAGCGTGAAGTAAACGCTCGCGGCGCCCTCTTCCCGGAGAGTCTTCACCGATTGCAGCAACCGAGCGCGATGGGTCTGGTTGAAGACCCCGATCGCGTCGAGATCGGGATCGCCGATCTGCTTGCAGATCTCAAGGTCGTCGTAACCGTTGTCGATGAACGATTCCGAGTATTGACCCAGGTGGAGGGAACGCAGCCACTCCACCACGATGTTGCTGGCCATCGTCATCTCTGCCGCCGCTCTGTTTAATAACCGCGAAAACGCTTCGAGAACGCCCTCGCGCGGCTCTTTCTTAAAGTTTCGCCTAAGCGAGAGTCTGCCGCCCCCGCTGCTCTAATCAGCCCCGTGTTTGATGTCGTTCTCTCTCGCTCTTCGCCGCCGGTTGCCAACTCTTACGCGACGGTTCCTCTCGATGCTGCTGTTGTTGCTACTGCTACTACTGTACACCGTGACATCTTCGAACGTTACACAGGAGAGTAAAAGAGGAAGAGAGAGAGAGAGAGAGAGAGAAAGAGAGGAAGAGTGAGATAACCGAGCGAGAACTATGTAGTCCCGTAGACCACGTTCCTTCGGTCCGGGAACGATGCTCAACCGAAGAAATCACGTATAATATTCGCGATTCAATCGGGTGGACCGATTCCCTCCGAGGGCGAGACGATCCCAGGCCCGATTGGTTTTTCGTGTAATGGGCGGCACCTCGATTAACGGCTCCTTCGAGGATACCGGATAGAGGATGCGGGGGGCTACTGCACCGGTCACGTTCGATCCCCAACGTACACTGCTCTAGCTCATTACGAGGCGCGGACCGTCCAACTGGTCCAATGTATCGATACGATCTCCTCTTGAACGCTTCTACAAAGCCACTCGCCTGATTCGCTCGAACGCTTCGCGTGTACGTAGAAATATATACACACGTACACGATATAAAGGTTATGTGTATGCTCCTTCTCTTTCTACAGTGTGTCCGTATGTATAGGTGCGAATTAAAAGACGAACGCAGTTAATCGCGCTCCGTGTCCCTGCCTCCGTTTCACGAACCGCGGTCGGGGGTAGCGGCCAGCAGAGACCTACGGGGAGAGGCCAATCATTTCAACCCCAAATCGAAACCGGCGCTCGTACACGTGTCCCGATGGAAGCACACGAGAGAACCCAGCATCGGTAGGTTGGGGTGGGGGCCGTTC